TCAGACTTACACTTGTGTTTCAAACATCCAGCAGAGATAAATGTAATCCTGATTAGCTGTGAAATCTAGGCATAACTATAGGCTGATAATTCTGGATATCTTTCTTTTATTTTATCAATATACTGCTTAGAAAAAGCAATCTAGTTATATGAATTTATCAGTTTACAAATAGACAATTATGTGGAAAGTATATTTATGACAAATGGAAAAAATTAACATCTTCTGAAAGATACTGATCTAATTTATTGGGTAAAAAATTCCCAAAGCAGTGTGGTTTTTCAAAAAACCTCTTCTTTATTCACTCAGTCATTCATTCATTCACTCATATTTTTTTAGGAATTTAGGAGTCAACTTTCAGATGTTTAGATTTTAACTAACATTAGCATTAATAATAAACATCCAAGAATCTTGAATAATTAATATTAGAATAAAGCAGATTCAAATAGAGAAAAGAAGGAAGGAGAAAGTGAAACAAAAAGCCGTTACATGTTTATTTTATGATTGCAGTTTAAGAATTACCTTAAAGGTGTTCACCAGAAACTTTTAAATTAGATGTGCAGGTCAAAGGAAAAAAATTAAGTCAGGTGCATAAAAACAAAAGTATATTAACCAGAAAAAGTCCACAAGATGATACCATGGACTCAATTACATTAAAAAGCACAGGAGAAGTGCCTGCCAGTCAACAGTGGAGAGGCAGAGAGAGTCCTCACCAGTGCTATCCTTTGGAAATCCAGAAGAAACTTACCATGACAGGTTTGAATTAAATTCTGCCCGGTACTGCCACCGGCAGCTTACCTTGACGGCTTTGAATTAAATTCTGCCAGAGCTGCTGCCAATACTCACAGCAAAAATTACCTTCACCTAAACTCATCTCTCAGAGAACAAATGGCACCTGCCAAAAGAGACCCTTAAGGGAAGTAGTATTCACCCAAAATACAGCCCACAGGAGGTCTGCCTTACCTTTCAGGGCAAGATCCGTTCTAGAACTTCCTAAATAAAGTTTAGGAGGAGCTCTGTTAAAAAGGGAGCTCAGTCAGCAAGAGGGAGTTTGCCCAAGAGAAGAATCACCATGTGAGAAAAAGGCAATCCATGGAGATGGAGTGCAGATGGGTTAGTATATGTACCACACCAGAGTCCTCAGGTCCCTATGGAGCTTTTTGTTTTTGCTTGAAGTTCCTTTCAGGTCACCATATATATCAGCCAAAAGAAAAAAGAGAGATTCTTAAGGAAATAATGCTTCTTATTTTTGAATTCCATTGCAATGGGAATAGCAGAGTGCTGCAACCAGATCATGCATTTCTTAGTAAACTATGGACATAAGTAAAGAGATTAAGGCAAAGGGATGTTCTGAAACCAAAATAGGGTGATTACCTGAGCTGTTTGAAACTGTAAGCCCGGTCACATGGTTAGAAAATGGTGACCTCAGTTTGAGGTTGACTAGACAGTTGCTGAGTGGATGTCCTGGTAGAAGTACCGTATTGCAGTAGCTTCTGTTGCAACTTGCCATCCTAGTAACCTTTTGTGACAGTTAATATCAGGAGATTGTGGGCAAGAACTCCTCTATTTTAGTCACTTTCCTTGTCCCTGAGACACAGAGGAAAGGTTTGTTTTCAGTAGTCTTAGGTGGGTGCTGGCTTGAAGGTAGGATCGCATGGTACAGTAGCACAGTGAAGGAGACGGGGAGAGGGAGAGAGAGAGAGAGAGAAAGAGTGAGCGAGCTGGGGAAGGTGATGACCCTTCCAAGCCATATCCTGGGTGACCTGCCTCTTCCCATCAGATTCTACCTCCTCACAGCAAGTTTACAGGAAGCCTGGTAAACCAGTCATTATTGAAAGTTCCACCTTTGAGCACATGAGGCTTTGCGGGGACATCTAGATATAAACCATAACATCTTTTCTTCGCTACTTCTTGCCTTTATTTCCTTGTTTTTGATAAACTTAACACAAGTGCCTGCAGTTTGATCCTTTCTCATTTTACGTATTTCTTGTAAGTTTGTGTTATATATTAATTTTCTCTTTCAGAAATTTTTCTTATGTATTCCTCCTCTTTTTTTCCCTTTTTCAGTACTAAATTTTTTCTAATCTGTTAATGTGTTAGCCAAACATTGTTTTGTTAGTCTTTTAATTATTATCCCAGACAATCCAGACACAACAGTACTTTATATATGCTCTCTCTTATATAAAATTAAGAATAATTTAAAATTAATATAGGGTTTTAGAAGTTGGAAGAAAAGTTCCCTTTGGAGAGGAGGAGAAAGAAGAGAGAGTGATAAAGAAGTATACTGATAATATTTATTGTTCTGAATGATGTTCAAATACAGTATATATATTACAAAAATTTTTGAGCTCATACTTATAACTTGTGCACATTTTGTATGTATGTAAATAATTTTATTAAAGGAAAAAGACAAATTTTGCTTGTTGTACTTAGAGAACAGATATTACTGGTTATTGCTAATATGGCATTTCTTTGATAATGCTACATGTAATGTATAAAAGAGAATACTAACTACATATCCTCCCTCCTCTTGTTTTCGTATTGTCTTGCATTTTAATTCTACAATCACTTTTACCTTCATCAACATTCATGACTGTTCTGTGTGGTCAGCATCCGTTGGACATGCTTTGTGATTGCTCAGTTTCCTACAGTTACATCTTTCTTTTGGTCATTCTCCAGAAGTCAAAGAACTTCCTGTAAAATTTCATTTTAGTAGAAGTTATGGGTAGGCTTTGTTTATATAAAATGATTCATCAGTGTGTTTGAAGAGTGTTTTCATTTCATATGGCTGTCTGGTTGGCAGTGATGTTCTTCCTTCTATTCTCTTTTGGTTTTCATTATTTCTGATGAGAATTTGACTTTCAGACATGTCCTTGAAGGTAAGTAATGTCCTTTTTTTCCCCCTTTTAATGCCTGTAGCAGTTCATCTTTCTGGTAATCTACAGTCTTGCTGTGGATCACATGGGAATGCCTTTGTTTTTTATTTGTCCTGTACTTGCTTTTTGAATTTGTGGGGTTGATGTCTTCCATCCGGCTAAGAAAATTTATGGCCATTTTCTATTGTAATGTTACATTTGCCACTTGTGTCCCACCTTTTCTTCTGGAATCTGAATTGGATGTGTCTTAGATCTCTTCATAGCCCAGAAACTTTTTTCTCCTCTGTGCTTTTGTCTAGTTATGTTTCTGTAATTATCTTCTATTTCACTAATTTTGTCTTTTACTGTATCTACTCAATTCCAAATTTTAGATTTTCCATTTAATTCTTTTTTATAGTTTGATTTCTCCATAAAATGTTCTGTTTTAACTTATGCTTTCTGCATCTTTCTGTTTTCCAGAATTCCATCTTTCCATTTTCTGTGCTTTAAAATATGATTGTTTTATTAGCTAACTACAGAGTCTCTGTCACCTGTAGTTTTGTTACTGATGTCTTTCTTTCCTTCTTTGATTTTACTGTGTGGTCTGGACTTTTGCTGAGTTCAGTAATTTGTGTTTGAAGGCAGGACTGGGTGTATAAATCTGTACAAGTTCCAAGTGATACACTGTCTTTCAGAGATTACTTGTTTTGGCTTTTTCGGCTTTGAGAATGCATGGCTGAACCTCAGACTGTTCTTCTTTAAGACTGTGTTGTGGCCTTGGTAAGCTTCAGACTGAACTTGTTTGGCCCTAGTTTCTCCAGTGATTTCTATTTATTTATTTTATTATTATTTATTATTATTATATATATATTTTTCTTTAGAGTATGGCATGTTGTCTGGCGCTTCTCTCCTCGACATTTGCCAAACTCAAGTCATTTTTCCTGAATATTGATAAAAATTCCACTCTGGTCTACAGAGGTTTTCATTTGCTCTTTTAGTCTTGCATCTGATTCAGCTTCCAAAATTGGTGAATGTCCCGGGGTGGTGAGAAGATTGCACATGTGAATCCTTAACCACATATTTACACTAGTCTGCCAAGTACATTGGCACATGCACACAGAAGTTCATGACTTTGTAATTTTAATTGTTTGGCAATGTTTAAGCAAACCTCTGTTTGGAAACCTTTATTTACAAAACAGTTACTCTAGGTTGTAATTTTCCATTTTACACAACATTTTTTGCTTTACAATGAGACTCATTTAAATGTAAGATTACCTCTAGGGTAATTAATTATCACTTGGTTTACAAAATTTTCTATTGTATTCAAGTTTTCAGGTGGAGTATACTTTTAATTAGGCAGAAAACTAGTTTGTATTAATAAAACATCTGAGTTGCAACATTTTAAAATTCAGATGTGTTGCTTTTCAGTAACTAAGCAAGGTGAAGTAACTGCTAATTATTTTTACATGAAGCTTATTTACAATTAGGGACATATTAGCATTCACATAGCCGGTGTATAACTTTCTGATTATCCATTTATTGAATATGCTTCAGTTCTTGAAAATTTTGCCGTTACTGTTAACTGTAACATGAATGAATTTATATGGTGTCATTTCTCTGAAATAAAGTAAGTTTGAATTTTTTTTTTACAATGTCGTTTTCAGATGGTTATAAAATCATACTAATTTTGGCCAATTAAATTAATTGTTAATTATATAACATTATGAGTTTCAAGATACCAAGCATGCTAGATGAATAGTATTATCTGTGGGGTAAGATTACAGCTGAATTTCACATCTTGTCTACTTTTGTTTTTCTCTGTCTGTCTTTACCTCTTTTCCTCCTTCCTCTCTCTATGTATAATTTTTGTAGTTTTTAGATTTATAAAATGTGTCGTTACAAGTCATATAGTAACAAGTAAGTAAACAGTGCATTATGAGTCTGTGTATTCATTCAGAGACATGCCTCTATCACTGAATGATCTGGATTTATCTCATTACCAGATTTACTTCAGGGATGCATGGATGTGGGGGAGCTGGCCTCTCACTCTGCCCTGCCCCTCGGCAACTGTGAATGACTTGCAGATGTGGGATCCAGCAATGGTGAGGTGTGCTCACAGGTTCCACAGTTGTGTGTGTTTCCTTGCAGACTGTATGAAAACAAGGGGGAGGCTGACTTCGTGGAATCCTTGCTGCAGCTCTTCCGGTCCATCAATGACATGATGAGCAGCATGTCCGACATGACAGTTCGGGTGAAGGTAGGTGCCTGCTATACTCAGGTCCACTTATGTAAGAACTTTTCCCACTGCATGCTGAGAATGGGGGTTGTATGCCCTGCCACCCTGAGCTTGGATGGGGATAAGAGCCTCATCCAAAATGAACATAGTCATGCTCCACGTGTACTCAGTTCTTTTGTCCTTTCTCCCTAGGAGTACCTGAATATGTCCTGTGTATCTCCTGGTTCCTTAGCGAGGGGAAGTTCTAAATGTGCAGGATGAGAGCTGTGTTTTCTACTTAACTTCACAGGGTATTTCAGTATCTGGGACTTTGTGGATGGTGCCACAGTCATCAGGCTGTGTCCTGGCGGTGGTGTTGGATCTTATGCTCCAGCGGCTTATTTCTTATATTGGGGAGGAATTTTGTGGTATCAAAAGCAGGACAATAGAATCCATACTTTTGGAAGTTTTGGGACAAGGCAAACTTACTTTTGCAGAAGGATGTGTTGCTAGAAGAAGGCCAGCAAAGGGCAAGCATCCCGAGTGGCTGTTTATCCGCATTTTATCCCTGATGTGCTGTCATCACTGTGTCCCACTCTATTGGTGGGTGCATGGCCTTCTGATCTAAACAGATTGACTAGTTTAATGACATCATGGATGCTAGGCATAGCAAATTCTTGGATCTGTGTAATATTGTTACAAAGTTGTGGTATAGAGGCACATAGTCCTTTAAGTTTTCAAGGAATGGTGAGACAAGTATCTACATTTTACAAAAATAGTAATTCTTATAAAGTGGACTTATTTTAATTATCTTTTTGGGGGGGTGAAAAGACTTTTTTCCACACTTGAAGAAGAATGATCAATTCAGTGGTCTTAGCATCACCCCACTTCTTATCACATGGTTTAGTCTATTGTCCTTCAGAAGAAAGATACCTTCTGTTCCTGATGATCTGAATGTTCTTCAGGACACTCGCTGGCATGGAGGTGCCCGAGAGAAAGGATGTGGGAAGAGGTCATGTAATAGCCCCAGGTTCCTACATCTTGAGTATCCTTGGTAGGATGACTTTTACAGGTTGACTTATTAAAGAAAGGGCTGTACACTTTTCAGTTTGCTGCCTCTGATAATTCATTGAAAGAACAAGAATCTTCCAAGTGATTAACTTGCACATCTATTCCACTGCACATTGTAGTCTCCTGTTTTCTTATTTTCTTCGTTCCATGCTTTTTTTTTTTTTGTCTTTTCCTTTTTTTATCGGTACGGGAATCGAACTCGTGACTGCCTGCTTGCGAGGCAGGCGCTTATGCTGCTGAGCTAAATCCCCAGTCCCGTTCCATGCTTTTTTAATGTGTAATTTCAGAAAAACATCCTTATAAGTCTTTGCCATGTGCTTTGGAGCAATATGTGAATGGGTTTAGAAGCTTTTTTGCAGTTGCTATGACCAAGGGACCCAGCCTAACGAGGTTTAAAGTCATAACTTCCCTCTAGCTTCCCAGATGGTTGAGCTAGCAGGGAAGGCCCTTAAATTCTTTACCATAATTATTTGATCTTTACGTGAATTTTTTTCTAAAAATCAGTCATCAGTGGTAGAAGCAATGTGGTGCCTATATTAAAGTTCTAGGTTATTTTTGCAACATTTGCCTAACGTTACTTTATTGTCTCAGCGTTAAAATTAGTGGTGTACTTGGTACATTTACTACTCAATCCAGTGAAATTTTAGAAAAACAGACGTATGTTGTGTAAGAATAGATAAAAATTACAGGAAGTTTCTTGCACAGAAGCAATTTTAGATTGCTAGATATATTCTCTCATTACTCAGTTTGATTAGATTTGACTTGTGACTGCCTGCTTCCCTCAAAGTGAAATCACTTAGTAAGTGAAGACCAGGATGATTTTACTTCACTGGGTGTTTTTTGGTAAGACATGAATGAATTCAGTGACTTTCTTACATTGATGCAAACCTTACATTAGCAAGACAGAGACATGGGTTTTCTTTTACATATTGCCTACCTTGCTACTAATTTGGTATTATATTACTTCACAGTAGTTGCTTTCTCAGCATCAGAGATTTTAAGGATTCTCACTGTGGGGTCCTGGTTTTTGTATTGGGTTAATATTTTAGGTTTTGCTGGGTTGTTATAGAAATACAGTTTCGAACTGCAGAGGTAGAGAAAATACTTTTAAGACTGCTATTTGTGAAGGGTTAAATGCTGTTTACCAAACAGTGACCCTTGACTGTTTTGATTTGAGGTTCTGGCCCCTTGCCTTCCTTTGTAATTTGGAGGTTGGAGTGCTCTAATGCCTCTGTGGCTTTAATTTTGGCAACTGATATGTATGATCAGATCATAGGACCAGCCACTATGTGCGAGTCTGAAGGAAACGGGAGATAAAGTTGGGTGGGGCTGGTCATACCTGAGTGGAGAATACCTGAGTGGTGGTTTCACTGACGGCAACAGGCAGTATTGTCCCTCAAGCTTAGGATTCTAGCCAAGCCTTAAAAAAAAAAAGTACATGGTAAAAGTAACGTGAAAGTTCTCATTTTAGGCATGCAGTTCTAAGTGGCATTAAGTACATTCACATTGTGTCTTAACCATCGCAGCTATCTGTCTCCAGAACTTTGTCTTCCTAACCTGTATACTCAGCAGGCTATAAGTCCCATGTCCTCCCAACCCCTGAGGTATTGTTTGGATGGAAACCATCCCCCAACGGCTTTAGGCACTCATAGGCAGGACACTGGGAAGGTACTTTATCATAGGGATGATTTAGCTGACTTGATGTGATGAAAAGGGGCCTGGTTGGAAGAAGGGTGTCTGCAAAGCACCCAGATTCTCCTGAGCAAGTGTCTGGGAAGCAGGGATGAGCTATGGAGGCTGCCTGGTGTCAGAGGAAAGGAAAGCAACATTGATGCTCACTATAGCTTCCTCTCTCCCACCTAAAAGGAAAACCTGTCCACATGTTCAGGCCTCTTTGTGTCTTCTCCCTTAAATTAAATGACTTTCGTTAAAAAAAAAAAAAAAAAGTGTCCCCTAAATCAAGTTAAAAATAATTTGAAAACATTCTAATTTGAGAACATGTTTATCCCACAACAAGTATGGGTGTGAAGCTCCACTGCCCTCCCTTCATTACTGCATGAAGGCCCATGGCTGACTCTCACGTGGGACATGAGTGAAAGTGGTGGACTGCGTTAGAAAAGGGGAGCACGTGGTGGCTGGTCCTATGAGGATTGAGGTGTTTATGTGTCTTTAGGTGTATATGTACATGCATAAATATGCTGTGTGTGTGCACACGTGTGTGCACATGCATATGGGATATGAGTATATAACTACTGTATATGTCTCTTTGTGCATGCATGTGTGTGTTTAGTGTGTATTGCATTTCTGAAGCTGAAAAATGGTTTATGAAAAATGTGTACCTGCATTCTGTGGGAGGCATTTTGATGTTTCCTGTTGTATTCTAGATCCTTTCAGTCTACTCTAGACTAACACTTCTCACTAAAAAATGGCTGCGTGATAGACACTGTGTTTGCTCTCCAAGAGACATAATTTTAATTTCCTTAAAAATAATGCTCTGCATTGAAGAATTGAACTGTATGTATGTGCCTTGTATTCTACCCCCTCTCCCAATTCTTCCTCGTTTGACAGTTTTGCTACTTTAAAGAAAACCATTTCTAAGGCTCACACTGCTGCTTACAAACTTGTAAGTTTAAAGTGTTACTGCTCTCAAGAAAACTTTAGTATGAATGTAGTAGAGATGATGCCAAGTAAAGATCAGATGGATTATGATTTCCCTGTGGATGAGGAAATCAGGCTTCACTCAGGAGCACTGACTGATGCAGAGCCTCACTTCTGGCAATAGCAGTCTCTGTCTAGCACTTTCTCCAAGCCCCTTGGGTTTTCCTCTTCATGTACAAGTTAATTAAGATGAAGAAGAATCTTTTGTACCCCTCAGAGAGTACATTATCTATATTTTATCTTTATAATTGTATTTTTTTTACCTCATTTAGCATCATCTGACATATATCCACTCACACAGATCATAGAGAGACAGATAGATAGATAGATAGATAGATAGATAGATAGATAAAGATATAGTATATTAATTGTCCCTCACTAGTCATGGAGGATTGGTTCTGGACCCATCACAGAATACCAAAATCTGAGAATGCTCAAGTTTCTCGTAGAATAGGACATATGAAGTCTGGGGAGATAGCCCAGTGGTAGAGTGCTTGCCTAGCATGTATGAAGCCTTTGGCTTGGTCCCTGAGTCCATGAAATAAAAAGTCAGTCTTGCTAGTATTTGCATATGTCTTGCATATCACGCCACATCCTATAATCTATCTTTAGGTTAATTGTATTATCTAATATGATATAAATGCTATGTAAATAGTTGTAAACTATTTTGTGTAGGAATAATGACAAGAAAAAGTATCTATTACATTCAATAAAAGCATATTTTTTCCCAAATATTTGTGGTATGTAGTTGATTCAATCCATACCCAAGAGTATAGAGTGCCAACTGTGTATGAAATGTGTACATATATTCTTATGTACACAAACATAAACTTTTAGAACTTTTACCTTTTCTGCCTTTATTTCCTTATACCCATAGGTATTTTTAAGAACTTATTTTTTAAGATAATATGTCACTTCATGATTGTTGTACTTTATTTAACCAATTTTTATTTCAAAGCATTTACATTATTTCTGGATTCCATTTCTGTAAACAGTGCTTTATTAATCCTCTCTGACTGACGTTCTCCATTTATCCCGAAGACCTTGTTCCATCTGGTTTTCTTGGAGACATCAGTTTTCCCAGTGCTCTGAAGTCCTGTGTAAGTCAAGCCAGGCTCTCAGTGTGGGCCTCCTAGGTGAGGAATCAGTGTCTTTCATCTGGTTTGCTGGTGTTCAGCGAGACTAATGAGACCTGGTTGTCTGTTAGAGCTCTGGTTCTCTTTGTGCTTTCTCTTTATTCTGTAATTCTTGGGATAGAGCAACTCAGCTGTAGAACTGTAAGGCGAGGAGCTGTTGCATGTCTGAATACCTGC